TTAAAGACAGGTCAAACAACAATTGGACTGAGTATGTGTGCAGTGACGTGCCATCACTAAGATCAATAGCTGTGCTGAGAGTGTCGGTCTGCCATTGTTGTAGATATCACTGCACTGCTGTAATATTGTTGAGCTAAAATGGGGGATTCTCTCTCTGTCTCCCTCTCCCGTGTGCGTTCAGCCTAACAATGCACTGCAGCGGTTTCCTCGCTCCTCTCCTCCCCTCGCCATCTCCCTCTCAATCACCCAACACCTCCTCCCTCTTTGCACCCCCCTCTCCCCAACCTCCCCAACACTCATCGCTCAAAAAACATTCTCATACACCAACATGAAACAATCCTGAGGAGAGAGGAAAAAAGCAGCAGAGGGTTTTCCTTCACAGTCAAACTGCTGCTGAGTCTCCACCTCCTCCCTCTGTCATCCCTCACTATTGATCCGCCCACAGTCATCTCTGCGCCTATTTCTTCTGTTCACTAAGGATTACATTCCCCCTTTTTTGCCTTTTTTTTTATCCCCTTTTCACCTTGCCTGCTACACTTCTCTATTCTGGTAAAAAAAAAAGCAAAAACAAAAACCTGTCTCCTTAATCTACAGCTCTTTCTGCGTCTCTCATTAGACCTGTGCCTCTTTCCATTAAGTCTGTGTAATTAATCACGTTTTACGTTCAGCTACAGTTTTGCTTTCTAAAGAGGGTGAAAAGAAGATAATCGAGATAAAATGGTTATTGTGACACAACCTGTTTCACAGTTTCTTCACAGCATGTGCCTTTTGGCCCTTCCCTAAAAGCCCTACATCACTCCTCCCTAAACTAAACTTAGCGCTCAAAGAAGACCTCGTTATAAACCAAAACAATTATCATTATGACTTCTGCACCCTCCGTCTACTATATCTATAACGCCATCATACCAAAACCTTTCCTCTCATCGGTTTTCTATGAAATCGTGCATTTATTTTTACTTTGATGTGTGCTGTTTCTAAGCAGTCTGGAGACAGGTTTATTTGTGGTCATTTCTTTGTTGACTTTGAACTCTCTGGGTAAAGAGCAGAGAGAGAGAGTGAGAGAGGGAAAAGAGCTGGGCAGATGGATGGAAGGAAGAACAGAAAGCAGGAAAAAAGGCGCAGATGGAGGGAGTGATGAGAAGCAAGGCAGGCAGAGAACAGTGGAGTCATGTGCGGGAGAGGTGTGGAGAGGATGCTGTGTGAAATAAAAATTAGCACTCCAGAATGGATGAAAGAAAATGACGGTCACTTGGAAATATACAGTCATGGTTGTGATGCTGCAAAAAAAAAAAAAAGGGGGGGGGGGGGTGCCAGACATTAGAAATCATACATAATCCAGCCAATCCCTGCACTCTGGATTTCCATGTGTATTAGCTCTGTTTGTCAACTCCCACAGGGGTTTCTGCAGGGGTCAGCTTCACTTCTATAACATGAACCTGAACCCTCTAACCCTGTTTGCAGCTGACGCTGTTGTTTTAAATCTCTGTCTCAGTTCTCACTCCATCTGCCCATCACTGCATGTCAGTCAGTGGAAGTCTCTAAAATCCTCAGCTAATCTAGGCGTATCTATCCTGCTTTACCTGCATTTCCCTGTCAATAGGATTCCTGTTTTATACTCCTTTTCTCCTACAACACTTTGTACATTGTGCTTCTATAAGGGTTAATTGATTGACTATTTTGAAAATCGATTAACCGTTAAAGAGACGTAGAACCCACAATCCCAGTTCATGAGACGCCGCTTTTAAATCTCTCACATAACAAATTATTCCTGTTGTTGTTTTCAGCTGAACAAAAGAAGATATCATAACACATTTCTCACTGCTTTCTTTTTCTTTTTGTTTGTAGAGCAAAGATTAACCGAGGATAATATTTTCACATTAATCAATAATGGAAAATAATTTTAGCAGCAGCCTTTTCAGGCAGTCTGTGACAATATGGTGATCTATGATACCGCCTAGCAATGTGAGACAAGGTCAGCCATAGATGGAGGAAATTCCTGACACTAATCTCACGCATGATGCATAGGCCACTCACAAATGTGACTGCCTCTCATCGTCGTCGCCGTCTCATTACTTATTCTCTCACACGCAGAGACTACAAAAAAAAAGATACCGTGACGTAAAACGGCCTCGCAACACATGACACGGACGACTTCTATCATGTTCCTGTCACCGCATCTCTTGTTTTCTTATCTCGGGTGATGATGCTGCATTGAATTTAGATGCAGTGGCTCCTGTTTAATGTTGCCTTGGGGACTCACACCCAGATAATTTCTGTAATCAATGATTTTCATGTACCTGTCACTATCTGTCTATCAGCTCCTGGCTGCTATGTAGGTTATACCTCAAGGATAATGAATACCAGCTTCAATACTGTCTTGTTCAGACAATCTAAAGGCGTTCTGGCTGATGCACAGGAATGCCTGCTCCAGTCTTTCTAAAGGTAGTATTAAAAACTAGCTCAGACTGGTTAAACTCCTTTGAGAAAGGCCCTTTTTTCTCCACCCTCTGCCACCTTTAGTCGGTGACTGTCTACTGTTTTGTCTGGCTTTTTTGTGATGAATCAAACTGCTAGAGTGTGTCATTATATGTGTTAATTGGAACCACATGTTACACACTTGCCTTCGCTACGTTAGCCATAAGGAGAAAGGGGATGAGAGGAGGGGTGGCATCTGGCTGAAACTGGCGAAAGAGAACTGATGCGAAAGGCAAGGAGAGAAAAGAAGATGAAGGGGGAATGAAAAAAAAAAGGGAGGGAATTACTAAATTGTTTGTTTTTGAGGAGGCAAGGGGTGTAGGAGGTGGGTGGGAACAAGGGAGCAATATAAATGTTGTTATGAGAAGAGGCAGTCTCTGATAAGACATTCTCTAATGACCGAGTTTATGTCATTAGCTTTGTTTTAGCCAGTGGGAGAATAGAGTTTATGTGTATTATTAGCTGGCGCACTGAGCCACAGTTTCTAGCTTGGATTCTTCAGCACACATATTTTTGGGCTGTTTTATATTTGTGTGTGGGTGGTATAGAGTCTCTCTGTGCATGACTTGTGCGTATATGTGTTTATGCAGCCGTTACACCAGGCAAAACCTTGCGTACGAGGAGTTCCCAACTCTCCTCTATTATTTACAATTCTCTTTCCTCTTCTCCCGCAATTACCCTACATTCTCTCTCGCTCCAGCCCTCCTCGTCTAGACCACCATGCAGCATGTTCGTCCTTAGATACGTTTCTGCGTTCAGCTCGTTTCCTTCAGCTTCTCAGCATCTCTAAGAGTCACGTCTGAATTTGCGGGTTTCCACCTTACACACCTCTGTCTTTTACACATCTCTAGCTCGAGCCGATTTGCTTGCTGTCAGAGAACGTGGGGGAATCTTCTAACCTCAAGCCATTTGATTCTGGGCTGTGTGCAGCACAGTAATGAATATCAGTCTGACACCTGCTGGGGGGATTAGAACACTGCAGTCTAACCCTGGCTTTGATTGGAAGCCAGTTTGGCAGCGAAGAGACTTTTCCTCTCAGTGCTGAGTGACGAGGACATGTTTTGCCACAAATATGCAGGTTCTCATCTTGGCTGATGTGCACCTGGAATTTATGCTTTGCAGATTTATGTGCATGCCGTTTGCTTTGCATATCTATTGCAGGCTACACTTTGTGTTTATACTGGATTTTCACATGAAAGATTCTTCATCGGCTTTTTCTCACACTCCAGTCTAAATTTATTTAGCCTGCTTTCAGGCTGGCAACCTGATAAACAAAGTAAACACAACATCTGTAGAACCTTTGCTGACATTTATTTGCAGGATAATTATCTTGGTCTGTATTAGTGTTTAGCTATCTGTTCAATAAACTGGCAACTGATTGTATAGAAGGTGAAGAATGCATGCATTACTCTAATGCTGAAGCTGATAGTGAGTATACTGGGTAACTTGTGCCTTATCTTATCTTAGTTATAACAGAACCATTCACTCTCTTCCACTTATCCAATTCAGGGTCGTGGAGGTGCTGCAGGCCATATCATAGAGACCATAGAGACGTGGGGTACAGCCTTGACAGGACGTCAGTCGCTTGCAGCAATAACACAGAAAGACAGACAACCATTCAGTTTTGCATTCACAAACACAGTCAATTTACAATCACCAGTTAACCTAACATGCATGTCTTTGGACTGTGGGAGGAACTGGAGTACCCAGAGATAACAGGAAAACATGCAAACTCCACAGAGAAAAATGCAGCCTGGATTCAAACCCAGGACCTTCTTGCTTTGAGGATACAGGGCTTACCGATTCTTAATGTGGTGCAGTAGCCATGAAAAGCAGCTGAAACCACTGTTTGCTGAATTTAAAAGTGGAAGTTAGCCTTATTTCTTACAAGTTCTTTAAAGGGGTCACTGGATAACCTGAGTTGGATTAAATGTTACCTAATTACCTTATTAATGTTAAAAAAGCAAGGGCACAAAATTAAAAAGGTAAAGATGCATTTATGTACAAGATAAGTTTTTATGGATCATTTAATTTATTCTGGATGAGCAGTTCAAAGTTAAAAACATTTCAATCGCCTTGCATACAAATGGTTTCCCACATTCTCAAGAAATTATTAAAAGAGAGAGAGGGGGGGGAGAGAGAGAGAGAGAGAGAGAGAGAGAGAGAGAGAGAGATGGAGCGACCATGCCTCTGTATGGACAGGAAATTATTAGGATTTTAATCATAAGCACTGAGGTATTACGTACTAAGTACTGATTCACGCACAGTATGTGGTGGACAGAGAGAAGTAAAATTTAAAAAAAGAAAGAAAGGAAAGAAAATTGCAGCGTAAGGAGGACAGCCTGAGAAATGAAGCAATTGGAGAAGAAAAGTGGTGAAAAAAATGCAGCATTATAGAGAGGGGGGGGGGGGGGGGGATATGGCACTTTAGCGAGGGAGGGGTGGAGGAACTGTTCATTCCAAGGCTTGGCCACATTCCAGTCTGTCTGGCTCTGATTCCAACAGCCTCCTGTTTTTTGCCTTACCTTCACACTCATTGGACCCTGGAGCTGCCTTCTCACTGCCTGATCCAAACTTCAGTCACCAAGGCACCACCTGGTTTAAAAAAAAACAAAGGAGGAGAAGAGCATTAAACATGTGTCATTTAGCTTAAACCCTTCACCCGTCAAAAACAGTCACAAGAGAGTGGAGGAAATTTGGAACAACACACAAACATTTGTCATCTGCCTAAAAGCCCCCACCCTGGATGGGGTGCATATTCATTCTCTGTGGAAACCTCTGGGTGGAAATTCAACATATTTTTGTCCCACTGGAAATGTGGAGAGACTGGAAACATTCCTCGCCGGACAATAGGCTATCAAAGACCCCACAGACCACACCCTGTAGTTCACAGACATGAATCAGGCAGCAACAGGTTACACAAGCGCCGCTGCAGAGGTAACGGAACTGAGCAGAGAGCTCTGCTTACGGTTTCACAATCAGACTGAAGTGCAACTCTGTCCTGTCTCAACCTGAACATCATATGACGATCTGTGAGTTGGCAGCAGCGATGAGAATGTGCAATGAGACGATTAATATATGTGTGTACAAATAAAGATGACTCACATGGTTTTCATGTGATACACATTTGCTTTTTAAAAGGTTAATCCAACATTCAGGCTCCAACATTAATCATGCTAAAAGCACAAAATAAACATTCTGTTTGCAGCTTTCCCCCTTGTTTATATGTTGAAATACACAGGATGGGACTTTTCATTTGACTTTTAATTGTGAAGACTAATGTTTACACACTACCATGTCTTCAGAAGACTTGATCGCTCAGTTATGTTTGCCCTCTAACGTGTAAGGAAATCATTTTAAAAAATGAAACAAGTAAAATCGTGGAATTTCTGGTTTTGTATGACCAAATAAAATAAGCAAGTTGCCAGTACTAGAAGCTAAAACATGACCATCAAGTTCTTAAAATAACCAGTTGTTAATCAGTTAATCTACTTATCATTTTAGCCCTAAACAAGAACAAAGTGTGACTGCTGTGAGAACTGAGAGCATGCTCTGTTATTTTTAGTGTCTCCATCTAACTGAAATGAAACATTAAAAAAGACTTACTTAATAAAACAGAAAAATGACTACACGTGAAGAGGTGATATATGACTCACACCAGGTAGGCTGTGTGAACAATGTGAGTTGGATGTTGGTGAGAAACAAAAGAGCATTATGTCATTGACGTGGCTGAGCTACAGGATGGGAGGTGTCACTTTAACACCAGGTTGCACATCCTGATTACAGGGACAGATAAAATGCAGTTGGTATCTATAATCGAGTTTACTAATCATGCGCACAGAGACTTTCCACGTTTACGGTCTTGCTGCAAAGCAAACAATGATGTGGCAGCCCACTTGGCAACCAATACAAATAATGCCTTTACAATCTGATCTTGAGCTGTGCTAGTCTAGGCAGGTAAGAAGAGCGGCACTAAATGCAGCTTTGTATATTTTCATAAGCTTGTTTAAAAGCAGAAGCGGTCAACTTTTTACAGCCACTGTGCCTCACAGCGCTTTAAACCCGCTGACTGCTTTCAGTGCCTGCATCTAATCAAGCTTCTAGCCCCATTATCTCTCCCTCCCATTTGCTCCCTCGTTCCCCCACTCTGACCTTACAAGGAGAGGCAACAGGGTTGATGTCATTGAATGAAGAATGCTGCAAGAATCCAGAGAGAAAAGAGAGCAGGAGGAGGAGGAGGACGAAGAGGGGGTCTGACTGGACAGTTTATGAACACACACACACACAGAGAGAGAGAGAGAGAGAGAGAGAGAGATTTTGTTTACATAGTAATGCACAAGTCCTAAGCCAGACTCAAACGAGAAAGAACTTGTTTGGAAGGATGGTGTCATTCTTTCTCCAGGCTGAAAAGCAAAGGGGGAGGGTCTAATAGCTGGAGAGGGGAAGAGAGAAAGAGAAGTTGCCATTACTGACAACTCTTACTCAGCCCAGGAGCCAGAGAGGAGGAAGAAGAACAAAAGGAAAAGGGGGGAAGTAAAAGGGAGATCCACAGTGCAGCTGTGCTAACAGGGTAAGTAAATGTCTCTCTTGTGACTGGGATCAGGATGGAAGGAGGTGGTGGCATGCTTTAGTTACGTGAGCAAATTTTTACAGGTTACCTAATAAGGTAAAGTCCTTTTGCAGCGGCATGCTAGGGCAGATTTTCGTTACTCGGAAGGAGGTGTTGAAGGAATGTCAGCTTTGTTGGCGTGACAAGCAGTGTGGATTTGTCATAAGGTTTGGTATTTACCGTTAAAAAAAACAATGGTGCAGAAAGACACCTCGTGGTGTGCGGGGCTTCCCTGGTGTCTCTGTCAGACTAGCAGTTTAGCGTTGAACGTGAACAAATCCACTCTCCAGCTGATGATACTGATGATAAGGCATGGCTATGCGGAAGCTCCTGCAGGAAGTCCAGCTTTTCTAAAAAAAAAAAAAAAAAAAAAAGGAAAAAAAAAGTTGTTTAAGCTAGGCAGCTAGCCATGCAGCTGTATGCTTTTATTTATTTCACAGGGTAGCACAATTATTAGATTTGATGACAGTGCTACTGGGACAAACTGGTTTCCATATGTGGTAACGTTACAAAAAAAGGGGCAGTGGTGTTTGCGTTTCACCGGGGCGAAACCTACTGACCAAAGCATGAGTCGCCTGGGAGTGTAGGGGCGTGTGCGGAGCTAATAGTACCATTAGTGTGACTGATGCTAAGCCACGCAGGTTATCACACAGCTGACCTACGGTGCAGGTGAGTATCGGTAAAAATATGTTTTTGTTGGTTTAATTTTGGGGTTAACGTGTGTTAAAGCTAAACTGGATGGGCTAACGTTGTCATGGCGTTGTGTATGTTAATATTAACCTGATTGGGACACGTCGTTAGCTACGCTAGCAAGCTTTAGCGTAAACCCTTCATTTGTTATCCTTAATTTTGCCCTAATGAAGGGCTGGTTCAAGTACCCTAGCTGCCGCTCACCCAAGCCTGTCAGCTGTCAAAGTAATGACCAACAGATGTAAACCTAACTGAGCAGCAAACTACTGTACATAGAGTATGTTAAACCTATTGATTGTGCCAGTAGGTGGAACTTGACTTCGCTGTTATAACTCCATTGATTAGGGCTGTAAGCATGGCTGTTTCAACTCTTCAGCGCAGGGGGGGTGTCACACTTATTTTAGTTCTTGGTGCACAGCTAGCCTACTATCTGAAGTGGGCCGGACCAGTAAAACCATTACATCAGGTTTTTCCCCCCTCCTGCAGGTGGGGCCCAGTGCTGTGCCAAATAGTGATCATCTGCTAGATAGTGACTTCGGATGTTTCTCTGTGCAGTACCTTTGGTTATATTGGTGATATAATGTAGTCAACACAATTTTCGAAGCAGTTGTGCATAAAATAAAATAAAAAATGCTTGTTTTGTAAGCATCTTTAAGACGCTGGGTTATTGTACTCACTTTTTGTTCTACGTTGTAATCAGTCCAGTCCTTTGTGGCCACTTTAAATATCTTTATAGAACTGTAATGTTAGATATTTTTTATTGTTGTTATCTGCTGTCAAAAGAGCTATGACAAAATAATAATGACCGTTTTTACCCAGATAAATAAATGTAATGTGTAAGTCACTTTGCCATAAACTGGTTAAAGCTTCTGCCTTGTGATAAAATGTTCTTCTTGGCTCAAAATGGTTTGGTATCATTAATGTTACCAAGTCATATTGAAACGACTCATTTGCAGCAGTTTAAATATAGAAAATCATTTTTGAGCAGATACCAGAAGTCACATTTTACCACAGCACCTTCTTTTTTGTTGATCTTTCTTCATAATAATTTAAGTTGGATCTCTCTCTCTCTCTCTCTTTTTTTTTTTTTAATTCTAAGTGATCAAAACAAACTGAGTTGTGTGTGGCCCCCAGGCCAAATGTTTGACACCTTTATTGTTGTGTGCCATAATGAGGTGAATGAAATATTTAGAACACTTCTGACTATTCTTGTCACAACCACACCCAAAATAAAGCAGAAGACATCACCTTTCTGACACTGTCAACAAAAACTGAAAATGTCTGCGCTTCATCAAAGTACGATAGAGCTGGACTGCACTAGTATCAGTTGAGCTAAGCTCAACTAAGCTGCCTATTAGAAAGGAATAAGGCTGTACACTGGTTTGTGCTTTTACAAATGCAAGTGTCCAAAGGTGGTGTAAAATATCAGGAATGTGTAGGGTATATGGAGGGAAAGTATCAGTCACTAACAGGCAAATTATAACAGCAGGCAGTGGTGGAGACAAATGTACAGCTTTGCATACTAACATGCGATTAGTGCTCAGCGGATTAAAGGAAATTGGGGCTTGTATGGATATACCATTTTTAGCATAGATTTCTGCAACCCTGAGAATGTTAAATTCCTCTGACTAGGAGGACTCAAGGAGCCTTAACCCAAGGCCACAGTAACTAAGCTGTGTTTAAGAACAACTTAAAGTACGAACACTCTGGTCTGAGGTTTGTGTGGTGCAGTTGCAAAGACTGGGAATATTATGATCTCTGACGCCTCTGTAAGTTGGTGAGGCAACTAAAAGATATGAGAACAAGGACTAAATCGAGCAAAGAGCAATCCTCCTTAATTGTAGGAGCTGTGAATCAAAAGGCACGAGTTATTGTAGAGGAACACTTTGCCTCAAATCACTTTTTTCGTCTCTCACTTCCTTGTGACTCCTCTTTGGCCAACACTAGACTGTATGTAAATGCATTAAGAAAGAGTTTTTGGTGGTGTAAGTGTCTGACGTGATAATCCAGTGGATGATGATGTGACCAGTTTTGAAATGTTTCCTGTTTCCATCACTCATCCAGCTGCGTCAGAACACAGCACTGTTGCTCAGTGCACGTCCAGTGACCTGTAAGACTGGACTCAAAAGAGTTGTTTGTCCCCCGCATTAGTGACCCGTGGCCCAGACACACTTTCCCAGAAACCGGGTGTGCTATTAACATCAGAACAATAGAGAGTTTCATGAACAACACAGTAGTCACAGATAATGTGTCTAACCAGGGAGGAAATACTGGAAGTACTGTTAGGTTTTCTTTGGGATAGCTGTTCTTTAATATTCCTAGTGTTGTTTTGGTTTAAAAAATGAGACTACAGCAGTTTTGTTTTTTTTGGTTTTGTGTTGTTTTTACTCATCCCATGTGGGCATGGTGGTTATGTCACTTGTAAGAAAACAGTATCCACATACTGTGGGTGTTTTTGTTTTCTTTCAGTAGCATTAGGACATAGACTTGTTTAATGAGGCATCGTGTTTCAGTGCTTCCTTTTACAAAGCTAGAGCACAGTATATTAACTAAATTTAGTTCCTCTATAACCATAAACCAACAGGCCACTGCTAAGTTCAAAGCCATCCTCGTCAAAAGTGGAATAAAGTTTTCCTTAAAAGCCACATAGTTGCTGCTTTCAGAGACAGCTTGTTCGTGTTAAACTTTGTCCAGGACAAAAAGCAGCGATAACTGAAGGCATTCCACAAAATGCCCTGGTTTTACAGTTTTAAATATTATTTCATGCTGTGCCTAAGGTCTTTATTTTATAGTCTTGAAGAAGTATCCCAGTTTTCTAAGGCAGTGAGCCTGCAGCCAAGCTGATGAGTGCAATAACCCTACTGGTTTCTACATCCTTCAGGTAGTTAGGCTGTTTACACTTTACCTCAGTCTTTTTCTTTTTTGGTGAAAATGAGTTCCTGGTATGAAGGAATCAAAACCAACTGTGCCGGTTTTCTACTCTGTTAAAGCTGTCCAGCCATGTGGCGTTTATACAAAGTTCAAAAGCTAAAGAGCACCATATGTGATCTATGCTCGGCCTGCACGATGCCATCCTTCATCACAGCTGTAATGTAGAAATGACTAAGTGCGTCCTCAAGTGATGTCATTCAGTTCAAGTGGCTGGTAAGAAACCGCAACCGGGGTTTCTCACCCACCACTTGTACTATGATTTTCAGAAAAGACTATGAGATACAAATCTATAGCTGTGCTCCTTTACAGAAGATTAATACATACATTGGATTATGAGGGCAAGCAAAGACATCCATGTCTTGTTAAAAGAGAAAAAAACACTGCAAAGATGCATAGAAGGAAATGGTGATTAGGGGAAAGCAGAAAATGGGGGAAAGGGGAGGGGGGGTGATGTCATTGAGTTGGTGTGCCAGAAATGTTCCTCAGCTGAGGGTCTCTCTCATCTCAAGGATCAGGTTTCAAGATTTGCAGCAGGGCATCTGGACCTGAGTGTGTGGTGATCTCACCGCCTTGAATCCCCCAAGACTGCATCGAGGAACATATGAAACCTAACGCTAGCTTATCATCACTGTTTGAATAATTAAGAGGACTATTGTTGATTTAGAAACTGTAACTAAAGGGCGAACTCATAGCCTCCCATTTTAAGAAGGCACTCATTTTAGAAAGCCACATGGAGCTAAGTGTTCTGTTTAGAGTCTGTTGTGGCCACTACTTTCAACATGAAGTAGGTCTTGATAGTAGGTTAATAAGTAGCCAGCCATTTTTCCAAAAGGCTGAACACTCTTTCTTTGAGTAGTCTTATTCTCCCATTCCTGCAGCGAGTAGTGGAGCCTCTCTGATGCCACTTTCACCTCTTTACAAATGAAACAAAATGGTTTACATCACATCATGCTCAGATTCTACTTTACAGTTAAACTAATTTATTCTGTCTAGGTGACTCTAGTGTGCACTATAAGCAAAGAAGAAGCGAGAGGAAGGTAAAGGAGAAAAGGCAAACCGAGGGAAATCGGCTGTTAACACATTTCTTTCAATATAAAGTTGAGCAGAGCACAGCTGAAAGGTACAGAAGTGTTGAGCTGTTAAAACCAGAGTGACACTGTCATAATTACCTAGCACAAGTTAACATTATGAAACGCATGAGCCTTAATTTTAGGGTGCAGTATCTTGCACAAGGACTCTCCAACATACAGACGAAGGAGCCGAGAATCAAACCACTGAAGTTTTGAATAAATCTCTAAATCCTGAGTCACCATGAACAAGACTCTTTGGGAGGCACAGATGAGAACTGGGTAACCAGTGAGTAGTGTAAGGGCTTCATCCAGGAGTGTGGCTGAAGCAGATATTGTGATGTGTATGATTTGACATGAAGATGATTCAAAAAGCCAAGTTTAATTTCCCTTATCCAAAAACAGACTTTGTTGACAGCCACTTTGAAGAAAGCCACCATCTTGGCTAATGGGGTTTACCAAAGAAGTCATCATAAAAGGGTAACTATAGCAGTTTGGGTACTTGAATCCACCTACAGAGAATTTCCTTGTAATGCTAAATTTCTGCGGCACTATTAAGCTTTATCATATGTTGGGCCAGTTGGTTTTAACTGGTGGGCAGTGAGCTATCCAAGACATTCTGAGGAAATTGCATTTTCAAATGCCACAATGACATGGCTTCT